AGACCTCAATTCAAAACAGGCAAGGACATGCCATTTTCAGTAATTCAACTGGATACTGGAGTTGAACCATTTAAAGTTCAGAGGGCGAAGGAAATTCCAAAACCTTTTAGACTTTAATTTATTAATCATTTGGTTGGTCAAGTAACTAAACCTTTTTTGGCTAACAAATCCTAAACCATGCTGGCAAATAAATCTGTAAAACTTATTGACCCCTACAAAAAAAAAAAAGACTAGCTTATACATATAAACATATAAAGGTAGAAACTTATTTCGTCTGTGCAGATCCTTTGAGTAAGTAAAGCACCTTCCTAGATTCCCAGGGTGAACCAGCCACTTCAAGGCTGAGTGCATCTACTTCAAGGAATCTGAGCTTTTTGGAGCTCTCATATGCATGCCCAGAAACCCTTCCACCAGGACAATTATCCTGCCAGAAGGATGCTCCCAACATACATACTGATGTCCGGAAGACCTCAGGAAGGGGAAGAAGCTGAGGCGGCTTTTCGCTGCAGTTCCAGAGAAGTGCTTTACTTAGGAAGGACCTGCACAGCCCTAATACTTATAGTAAGCCCTTGTAACACATGGAAAAAAGCAATTCCCCTTTCCATCCACAGATGCTTCCTGTTTGCTTCTCTGAATGGAATCTTTATTTACTCCAAGGTTTAATACAGTGCCCTCTTACAAGCCATGAGATTAAATCTGCCATCTTGAATTTCTCAACCTGACCTAAGGCAGAGAAGCTAATGAAACAAGCATGGCAAAATTTCATAGGATTTCCTAGCTCCAAAGCTAGCACATCAGAAGGTATTCAGTCCAGAAACTGTTTACCAGTCATAAAGTTTCCCACAGAAGGAGGAGAGAAAGAAAAACATCCTGCCAAATAAGGAAACACAGTAACAGACGGCACTAGTGAAGTCCAAGAAAGATACCATCATATCAGAAGCCTGCCAAGATTATGTAACTGCATTACTTTCACCCAAGATTCATACGTGCTCTTCTACTACAGTTCCAGTAACAACTTGGCTAGGATTGGGCCCTAGCATTACAACACACAGCAAAATCATGGAAAGTGGGGGAGGGGTTCTTGGGGATTTGACTTGACTTATCCAGGCTAGGACATCTTAGTGTAACAGACTTTTATGCATGATTCTGTTTTTTCATTTTTTAAAAATGATTAGAAACCTTTTGAAAATGCATTCACATACTGTATTTCCTCATATATGAATTGTGATACAAAGCAGTATGTATGTATGTATGTATTTATTTATTACTGAGGCTTCTATACCACTTTGGTCTCAGGTATCTAAGCCGTTTACACAGGCTGATACAGTATCAATAATTAAAAATATTACAGTGACTAACAACATCCATAAACATTCAGTAATCCTGTACTCCACACAGCACTCTCATGTGAAAACCCAGAGGAAACCTACCCCCCCACCCCAATTAAACATTCAAACCTTCAGTCCCCAAAAGATCTGCAGCAAAGCAACGTTTTAACTTTTTTTTTTTTTTTAATGTCATGAGATTCAGGGCCAACTTCATTTTAGGGAGCAAGCTGTTCCAAAGGAGTGGAACCCTACCAGAGAACGTTCACTTCTGGGCCCCCTCCAATTTTATCTCCCAGTGTGGAGATTCTCAGCATGCCCTCTCTGCTGGAATAACTGGGTGTCTTGCAGTCACTCAAGTCCCAAGCCATTTAGGTCTTTATAGATTATATCTAGCGACTTGAATTGCACCCAGAAGCAAACTGACCATCACCGCATCTCCTCCAGAGAAGTGTATGTGACTATAACAGGGCTCATCCATAACCAAGCAGGCTGCTGCATTTTGTACCAGTTGAAGTTTCTGAATGGTCTTCAAGACAGCCTGATGTAGAACTACTTACTATAGTCCAGCCATGAAGGGACAAGGATATAAAGGATCAAGTTATGTGCCCCTCAATTCTGGGAACGTTTGTAGCTGCTGCAGCAGCCAATGCTGAGCAAAGGCACTCCAAGTCATGGCTCCCATTTTTTTTTTAGATTTTTTTAGCCCATCTTTATTATTTTTATAAATAACTCAAGGCAGTGAACATACTTAATACTCCTTCCTCCTCCTATTTTCCCCACAACAACCACCCTGTGAGGTCAGTTGGGCGGAGAGAGAATGACTGGCCCAACCAAGTCATGGCTCCCATTTTTTTTTTAGATTTTTTTAGCCCATCTTTATTATTTTTATAAATAACTCAAGGCAGTGAACATACTTAATACTCCTTCCTCCTCCTATTTTCCCCACAACAACCACCCTGTGAGGTCAGTTGGGCGGAGAGAGAATGACTGGCCCAAAGTCACCCAACCGGCTTTCATGCCTAAGGGGGGACTAGAACTCACAGTCTCCTGGTTTCTTCATTTATTATTCTAGCAGGAACCCAGATTGTGAACCTGCTCTTTCAGGAGGTGCACAGCCAAAGTTGGAATCATCCTGGAGTTAACCAGCATCTAAACAACAGCCACTCTGTATTTCAGGGATTAAGCCTGACCCTGTTTTCCTCACCTAACCTCCAACAGCTTCCAAGAACCAGGTCAAGACTTCTACCAATCTCCTGCACCTCCCCTGGGTGCAGATATACAACTAGATACCATTAGCTTAGTGATATTTCACCCCACACTGGTGGATGATCTCTCCTAGGAATTTCATGTATAGGTTAAAATAGGGGGGACCAAGTCTGAGGCACCCCCATAGTGGGTCCTCCACCCCATAGTGGGCCATCCACTCAAAAAAGAACAGAATCAATCCAGCACAATGTCCCACACCTCCAACCCTCAAAGGCCATCCAGAAGGATCTCATGACTGATATCCTTCAAAGGCTGCTAAGAGAGCAAGTAGGACAATGGAAGTCACATTCTCCTAATCCAAGTCCCATCATATATCCATTACAATACACAGCCAAAAAAGAGAGCAAAAACATGTGTTTCCATCCCATGCCCATACCTGAATCTGGACTGAAAAAGATCCCAATAATTCACTTCTTCCAGAGCCCCTGCAGCAGAAGCTCTGCTACCTTCTCAACAATCTCCCTCAAGGAGGGGAGCTAGTAGACAGGGCAGTAGTTGTCCACTATCAGGTGGTCCTTCTGGACTCATGGCTCCTACTAGAACAGCAGGTGAGGGCTATGGCCTTCGCTCAACTCTAGTTGGTGCACCAAATATGGCCTTATCTGGTACAGAAGAACCTGGCTACAATAACTCATGCCCTCATTATCACTCAATTAGACTAATGCAACACATCTTATATGGGGCTGCCTGTAAAGACTACTCAGAAACTACAACTGGACCAGAACCCTCATGCTCTGTGGCACCCAATATTGGGAGCAGCTGACACTGATTCTGCAGGCCCTGCACTGATTGGCAATTGGTTCCAGGTACAACTTAAATTGTGGTTTTGACCTGTAAAGCCCTTTATGGCTTGGCATCTGGGTACCTGCAGGATAACCTACTCCAACTGGAATTGGCCCAACCTACTAGATCACCTACTAAGAAACTTCTCATCATCCCACATTTCCAGGAGACGAAGGGAGCCAAAGCCAGAAAGCGCTGCTTCTCTATGACAGCACAGGGACTTTTGAATAGTCTCCCAGGCTAGCTCCCTCCTTGTTGTTTTTAGGACAACATGAAGAACCAAACTACTTTGGAGAATGTCTTAACAGAGTTCATGCACTGCACCATCATTTGTTGTTTGTTATCTTTTAATTTCCTGGTATTTTACTTCAGTTTACTTCAGTTACATTGTATCTTTTGGTCTGGGGTTTTATCACTGTGATTTTATTAATATTTTTAATCATACTGTGGATGTTGTAATATTTTTTCACATTATATATCATTACATTATATTATATATCATCACAAGAGCTGTTGGACTGCAGCAGGTATAAATGCAACAAACAAACAAATCCCACAACTATTCTGGAATGACATCTTATTGCAAATTCTTTGTTCCCACAATTTCATTGGACATGATAGCAGGACAAGGAAATGTTGGAGGAGTTGGAGATATGCTCCGAATCACAGAAATCAAGCTGAAACAGATTCTAATCAAGTTGGAGGGGGGGACAGAGGTTGCCTGGATCTGGGGTTTTTCCATCTTTACTCCTGATGGGGTTGCACTTCCCCAGTCAGGAGTGATGCACAACTTGAGTTCATGGAACTCAAAACTCCTTCTCAAAAAGCAAGTGGTAGCTATGGCCAAAAGTGCCTTTCATAGCTCCATTTGGTGTACCAGGTGTGCCCTTTCCTGGGTCAGTCAGCCCTCCTGTCACTCACACCCTTGTCAACTCACAGCTCAACTACTGCAATATACTCCACATGGGGCTGCCCTTGAAGACCACTCAGAAGCTTCAACTGGTCCAGAATGCAGCATCGCAAATAGTGACAGGCTTCCTTTGGCATGCCCATGTTACACTCCTGCTTTCCAATTTGATTTAAGGTGCTGGTTATGACTTATATGTCCTACATGGCACAGGGCCTGGTTATCTGAAGGACTGCCTGACTCTTGTGGTTTCTTCCCATCCAGTATGACCTGGCAGAGTATGCGCTCTGGGTCCCCATGATTAAGCAGTGTTATCTTTTGGAACCAGGAAGCACCCCTTCTCTGTAGCAGTGCCTGCCCTCTGGATTGAGGTCCCCCATAAGAGCGTTCCAAAAGGCCTTGAAAACTGGCTGTTCTCCCAGGCCTTGGGGTAAGGTGAATGGGACTCCCCTGTTTGTGATGTTTTATTTGTTGTCTGGATTGCCTTCTTGTACTTATTTTGTTGTTATTTTTGTATTTTGTTCCCATCTACTTTGTTGTATTTGTTGTTTTTGGGTTGCTCTTTATTCTTGGAGAGCTCCCCAGAGTTGGTTGGAGTTGGGTAGCATCCAAACTGAATAAACAGAAATAAATTACTGTGGTTTGTACCAGACACCTCTGTTGGAAAAGAAGAAAAAGAAGTGGCAACAACATTGCAGCAAGTCATGTACCCTTACCTGATTCACACACTATACTCCCTGGTTTCAGCTCAAGCATCATGGTGATTAAAGAGATATCAGTTGAATATAGGATTTGAGTTCTGTGGCGTAGATTCAGAGTCCACAGCTCTGGGGTCGGATGAAGGATGTACACCCAGCCTCCTTTGCTGCAGGTCACCTTGGAGCCGTACTGCTTTCCAATGAGGTCAGTGGAGTGTCTAATAACACCATACTTAGTCTGAGTTTTACCACCATGTTGCACCTTCACTGGAAACATTGATTCGTGTCCCAAGAAGACAATTGCCGTGTCCCCTTCTTTTATCATGTCTCCATATTCAATAAAACTCATCACGATAATGTTGTCACTGGCAGGTTAACTGCAGCTAAGGAAAAAGGAAACACACTTCAGAAACTCCCCTTGCTTCTCCTTATGCTAGCCTATGATTCCTGTTTCTTCCTCACAACCACCCGTCTCATTCAAGTTCCCCATCTCCAGCTCAGATGAAGCATCAGTTCATAGTTCCAAGTCATGGTCTAAAGGCAACCTGATACAGCATCATTACTGAAGCTAAGCAGGCTATGTCTGCTCAGTGCCGGGCAGGGAGATCGCTTTGAAAACCCATGAGCGTGCATTCAGTGCTACAATGGAAGAAAGGCAGGACAGAAATGAAACATGGAACCCCTGCTTTTGCTCATATTCAATTCTTGTTGTTCTCTTTATTGCTATCACCTGCCACCCATCCACCCACTTGTGGCTCTAATCGCTGGAGAATTTTCTAATTCTCTAATCTGCTGCCCTCCAGATATTTTGGAGTATAAATCCTATGAGCATCCCAAAGAATGAATAAAAGCCAGCAATGGGAATTGTAGTCCAGAGCATCTGGAAAACACTATTGGATGAGACACAATAATAATAATAATAAAATAACAATTAGGAGGCATAAAAAGACAAAAGAAAAAACTATAAACAATACTTTCTCTCCTCTTAAAGGGCTGGTGGGGGTGGGGGATACCAGTCACTCAGTTCCCTTCTGGAAGACTTAAGCTCACTGGAGAGGACTGATTGCCCTACAATCCTAAATAGCCTTTTGAACACAAGCAACTCACAAGAGAGCTCAGTAATCTAATAGTTGGAGTGGTTCAACTTCAATTTGATGGCATAAAGAAGTCCAAAACTCAGTCTTTTCCACTCTAAAGACTAGGCACAGGATGCAGCAGCCTGTAGCAGGCTATCTCATACTGATACTTATATAATATTCGGGGAGTCTAAAGGCTGTGGAATGCATAATTAAATCCCAATTCTTCTTCGCATATGAGCCGGGTCCCCATGAGTAGCAATTTTAGATATCCATCCTGTAGAAACACATATTGTCCAGTTTAACACCTAGCAAACTGGTTCCCTAGAATAGCAAATTCCTAGGGACGGGCTTGAGCAGAAAGCTTTCAATTTTCCTGGAAGGTCTAGCAATTCTGAACGAGATTCTTGATAGCCAGCATACCCTCATACAGGAAGATGGTGGCCCAGGGGACACTAACATTTGGGGGAAGGAGGGACAAGAACTGTATTCAGAGTGAGGGATCACATCACACATGATGGACCAGAATCTGAATTTACTTTGCTGGGGGACTTTTTTTCCTTCATTTATTGAAGCAGACTGAGTCTATTTCCCACCTCAAATTGGTTGGAATGCAACCCATTTTTAGTAATTGCAGTTGGAAGTGGTGGCAAATGCTGCAAAAAATGTTTAAGAAAGTCACATATGCCTGGAGGGGGCAGTATCTCAGGTTGCCCACCCAGTGATTAGACAGACTTAAGGAGAATCTGCTTCTCCAGATACATGTGAAAATTGAAGAAGACTACATTCTGAATTTGAACAAGCTTTTAAGAAGCTCACTACAGGATGTAGCAAAAAATTGTGTTTATTCATTTTCATTTATGTGCTACATATCTCAGGCCAAATGACACTGTTATACAATTTTAACAGGAGGAGAAGGAGGAGGATTCATAATATAAGGGTGTTGAGCCTGCCTGGAAGTTGGACCCTGCAAATCACCATGCCTATTCCAAAGGGTTTAGCAGAATTGCAATTACTTGACAAAAAGTCCTTTGAGCTCTTGTGCCATCATCACCATTTGATCTTTTATCTCAGCACTTAGTCACTGACAACCAGAACTAAAAAGTCATACTTTCACAAGGATCCTATACTTAATCTAGTAATCACTAAACTACACTCACCACACATCTGATCTTTGATCACAGGAACAGGAGTACTCTCACAAGTAAGGCTGTATTTCCAACAAGTGCTTAATCAGAATGACAGCCAAATGCAGTTTCAAGCGGAAAAGCTAATGCAGGACTATGAACCTGCACTCTGACTTTACTATCTTTCATTCTGAGTTTATATGCTAATGGAAATTATATGCTAATGGAAACACTGCCCCCTTTATCACTGCAGAAGTAATGGGGCCAATCTCTTAGAACTTAAGGATATTGTACAACAATTTGCTGGATATATATTAAGGGAAGCTGGATTGGAAAAAGATGAGTGTGGTTTTAAAACTGGAGGAAGAAGCATCAATAGCTTGCGCTATGCTGATGACACTACTCTGATAGCTGAAAATGCAAAAGAGCTGCAAGGTTTAGTAATAAAAATTAAGGAGCATTATGAAAAAATGGGATTAAAATTAAATATAAATGAAGACCAAACTAATGACAAGAGGTACAACAACCAGCCTTAGATTTGACAGTGAAGATACTGAAGTGGTAAATAGCTTCTGCCTTTTAGGACCAACCTTCTACACTAAAGGAACAAGCAGTCAAGAAATACACTGCAGCCGAGCACTTGGTAGAGCAGTGCTTGAACGCCTTGGAAAAGATATTCAAATGCCATGATGTGTCTATACCTATAAAGATCAGAATTGTACAAGAAATGGTATTCCCTGTGACATTTTATAGAAGCAAAAGTTGGATATGGAAGAAGCAAGATAGAAAGAGTACTGACACTTTTGATCTTCTGTGTTGGAGAAAACTCCTGAGAATACCATGGCAGCCAAGAAAACAAACCAACTGATCATCGAACAAATCAAACCAGAGTTGTCACTTGAGGCACAAATGACCAGGCTCAAATTACCCTACTTCAGACATATTATGCAAAGACCTAGCTCTCTGGAGAAGGCTCTAATGCTGAGAAATGTGGAAAGAAAAGAGGACAACTAACAGCATGGTGGATGGACTCAGTTACAGTGGTGATGAGTGCACTGTTGGAAGACTTGAAGGACCAGGTTAGGGACAAATTGTCATGGAGAAAATCTATCTATGTTGTCGCTAAGAGGCAACCCCAACTTGATGGCACATAATCAATCAATCAATTGACCTTGCTAAAGAGCCTTTTTCTCCTTTTTGTTCTCCAAGAGAGAACATGCCATTTATAGCAGCAGATGAAATAGCTAGACTGATCTTTATAGCATTAGCAGTTGCTAAGCCATGTATAAAATTGCCTGGCATTTGTCTTGTCTGCTGTGCCCATATATATTGTCGCTAAGAGGCAACCCCAACTTGATGGCACATAATCAATCAATCAATTGACCTTGCTAAAGAGCCTTTTTCTCCTTTTTGTTCTCCAAGAGAGAACATGCCATTTATAGCAGCAGATGAAATAGCTAGACTGATCTTTATAGCATTAGCAGTTGCTAAGCCATGTATAAAATTGCCTGGCATTTGTCTTGTCTGCTGTGCCCATATATATTCCTTTTACAGTACTATACTCTGTGCATCTGATGACCTAGATAGTGGTCCACAAAGATTATGCAGTAATAATTCCTTAAGTCATCAAAACTCTTTTTTCCCCCTCCATCATAAGAGTTTTTTCAATGTCTCTAAGGCACCAAGAAGAGCATCTGGGAAAATTGCTGTGCTAAATTTCCAGACCGAATTCTGGGGAGTATTTGTTAGAAACTAATTGCTATACTGGAACTTTATTTACTTTTGAATGCCAGTAAATTGGGCTTTTTAAAGAGCAACTGTAACATAGAAGCAGCTAGAATGTATGTTGTTTCCTTTGTGAGTTTCAACAGGCTAGGTATGACAGTGTACATCTGCACTTTTAATATGCAATTAACATACAGAAGTTTTAAAAACTGAATTTTTCTTTAAAACTCCAGACCAAGGAAAAGCATGGGAATTTCATATTTTCTCAAACTCTTGCTTTAAAAAAAAAAAATCCTTTTCTCCACTTTCACTATGATGTTTGGTTTACTGTCCTGGGTGGGATGATGTATTGGCAGAGTCATTTTTCTTGTTTTGTCCCTAATTGCTTCCTTTCCCCATCCCATTTTTCAGCCTGCTTTGCACTTGTGACCTACAAATGACTTGTCCCTGTTTATCTTTTCAACAGGAGATGCTGCTGGAGTGCGGAGGGGCCGCGCGGGAGAGGGGAAATAGGCACAAATTAATACTTGTGCGCTGTATCAGACCATCTTTTGCACTCGTGATTTTACCCCTGCTGACATTCCCTGTTCTACACAGTTAATCAAGCCGCAGAAGCTCTGCCTTCTTTTGGAGATCTGGTCAGTTTCCCTTTTTCCATCATCTTTGGCATGTCTACTCAGAAGTAAGTTCCAGAGTGGCGAATGAAGCGGCCTCTCAGGCAAAGATGCGAGAGAGTGCAGCTCTTGGTTTCGTTTCTCCGCTCCGGGCCCTTAATCTGCAGGTTGTTTTAATCCCACCTCACCCTTACCTTTCCGGCTCTCTACTTGCATTCAGGGAAGATGCAACAGATCAAGATCAAGATCAAGATCAAGAGCAGAGCACAGCCCCGGCGGATGCAGACACGTGGTTCCACTACTTCCTCTCTCTTCCTCGTCGCAGCCTGTGACGTTTGTCCTTCCCTCCCTCGCCCTTGCGTGGCCAGTCCGGAGCCAGATGAAGCTCTTCCCCTTTTCCCGCTTGAGCGGAACGACTTTCCTTCCTTTTGCGGTGATGCAATTCGCGTCCTGCCGCCTCTGCCGGTCTCTTTCTTCCTGCTTGTTGTATGGTGCGGTCGGTGCATCGCTGGGTGCCGTTCGTTGTAACTAGTTTAAATAAGGCTCGCAAATGCGCTCTTGTTCGCGCGTCTCCTCGTCGGGTTTAGGCTACAGCTCCATCTTTGCTTACCTGAGAGTAAACCCTTTTGAATTTAAAGGGACTTACTTCTGAGTAGAGAAGTATAGCGTTGCGCTAATAAAATCTGTTCCTTTCTGCGAATACACTGCAAAGCACGGTATTATTTTGCAAGATCAGGTCTATCAAGGAAGGCTTGTATTGATTAAAGCTGGCACGTCACTTCACCTTTACCTTCTCTGTAATACGATTACAGTATAATCTATTATACATGTGTTCCTGGTTTTGAGATTGCTAGCATTCCTATACCTACTTAATCTGTGTGCACATATTTATCGGTATTTGGCTATTATGTACTTATTGTTTTACATTTTCAAAAGATGTGATCTACCCTAGAAATATTTTTAAAGGTAGCAGGTACTTTAAAGAAATAACTACTGAAGAGTGAGAGGAAATGCCGTGGGCCTTACTTCAGTGTAAGTCTCCATAAGATCAAATAGCATGTCTTACAGAATGCAGAGGTGTTTGTTTCTGATTAAACAGAGCTGATCCACACATCACTTTCTTATTATGTGCCCATGCACTGAAACTCGTCTACCCAATGTTTATATACAACATTTCAAATCAGACATGTTTCCTTGAAAATAAGCCCTACTTTTTTCAATGGAATGTGCTGTCTAATATTATTACTGTAAATTTGGATACATTTTTAAGTTGTCAAAGTGCTTATCTGTATTGCTTAGACATAATTCTCACAACACCTGTACAAGGTTGGGCTCTATGGTCTCCTCCCTGTTGCCCTCTGTGTTGTTGAGATAAGGACTTAAATTAAGAGAGAGTGGATTTCCTACAGCCACGTAGTGAATTCATTAATGATGCCTTTGATTCTTTTGTATGTGGAGCAGTCACTGAGTTCATGGGGATATCATGCCAGGTTAGCAAGTACAGAATTTCAGTCTGGGCTTCCCTAATATCCCAGCTCCCTAGCAATGTGGGTAGGATTGCAGCCTAGAGTCATGACTGAAGAACAAGATAAACGAGCTCCAGAAGAAAGGGGTGGGCAGGACTTGGATGTATACTTTATATGGTAGTGAATTCTTTTTTATTAGTGTATGGAGTTTGCCAAGAAATAGCTCTAAAGCAATGTAAAAACTCTTCACAGAACAAGTTTACACATACTGTAAACAAAATTAGGCAGGGCAAATGTAAACAGCTTTGTCAATACAAATTATTACTTTGCTCCTATAATGTTGATCTATGTATCTTCAGCCTCTTAGAGGAAGCTCTTCATTGACTCCTGTCATGAGGGTTTGGAAATATTTTGAAAAATAGCTCTTAGTTCATCCAGCAATTCAGTGCAAAGACTCCACGCATACTTTCTGCTTTCTAAAAAAAGGATTTTGTTGTTGGGAACGAAGCCATTAAAATCAGTCTTTATCCTTCTGAAAACTGATTCCTGCCATCTGATTTAAGTAGAATATGTGGATTAACCTTTCCCTGTCCTCTAACTGCCTTACCATTATCTGTGGGAAAAATAACTGTTTGCTTCCATCTTCATAACCATTGCATTTTACTGATGAAATAACAGAGGCCAAGAATTGACAATGAACCCCTTTTTTGAAAAAAATCCAAGCATTCAGGGCAAATTACAACACATTTTTCTCACAAGAGGCTTTAATACACTTACAATAAAAGAAAACATCCTGACAAAACGCTCATAAATTTTGCATCTTCAGATATTACATTCTTACCTGATTGCATCATTTCACTGGTTTCAGGCAGAATTTAGCTTACAAATAGGAGGGTGGCAGCCTGGGAACTAAATCTTATCTATTTAATTTAGTTATGTGCTATTTGTTATACCAGTGTTTCTCAACCTTGGCAATTTGAAGCTGTGTGGGCTTTAACTCCCAGAACCCTTGCTGGCTGGGGAATTCTGGGGGGTGGAGACCACACAGCCTTAAATTGCCCAGGGTGAGGAACACTTGGGTATAACACCCTATTTCTTTA